ACAACAGAAAACGGCTGTTGTAAATGTTCCATAGCATTTAGGGCCTAAAGAAAATGTTCACTCTTGCATCTCAAGCTCTGTGATAAAGCAGCTTTTTTTAATCCACTCTATTGTACACTACCTTTTCCATTCAGGCTTTAAAAAAAAAAAAAAGGTGTTTCAGGTCTGAAACCTGAAACTTGATTTTGCACAAGGCTGCATAGACAAAGTGCGAGGCCAAGAGAAGGGGATGAAACATGCAGCTGGGAAATAAAGCCCACCTCTTTGGGCAGAAACCCATACTTAAGAGTGGCTCAGTATTTTGAAACTACAGCTTCAATCGTCAATATTTTTAACTTAAAAGGTATTTACTGTATGTATATTCTAAGTCATTTATGCTTGTATTTAACGATTGTCATCACTTTCTATGTAAAATAATGTATTTTTGTTACTTTTTTGTTATTTTTTTGTTACTTTTTTGTCCTTTGGCCTTCAAGCTCCCCCTAGTGGACCATTTTGCTTTTGTTGGTGGGGAAAAAAAAAGTTACAGGAGACAACGAAAGATGGAGAGGCAGACTGTTCACTTAAGATACGGTTTTAGTATTGAAGTAACTGTTTCTGACACACAGCAAAACTTATATTAGAATTAAAGGCATAATGTACAGCAACATGCAGGTGTGTAAAAACTTCTGTAAGATCTAACCTGTATCTAGGTTGCTGAATAATTTCTTTCCTAAAAATATTTTCTCCTAATAGGTACTTTCTACCACAAAAGTAAACTGGTAGAACAACCATAAGGTACAGAACAATAAAAAAATCATCAAGGCAGCTCTCCAGCAACTATGAAAGACTATATTGCAAAATCAAAGCAGTTGCAGATTATATAATTTCTTCTTTTTTTGTATTATGTATATTGTTTTGTATATTTGAACTCATGATCTCAAGGGATATGGGCCAGTGAAGAGTAAAGTGAAGACCCTGAATTTTAGGAGAGTGAATGTTCAGTTGCTTAAGGAACTAGTGGATGGGAGCTCCTGGGAAACTGCCCTCAGTGATAACGGAGCAGAAGAGAGCTGGCGGCTCTTTAAGGATGTTTTTCTTAAAGTACAAAAGCTTTCGATTCCCATGTGTAAGACATCAGACAAGGAACGCAGGAGGCCAGCATAGCTGAGTAAGGTCAAACTTGAAGTGCAAGAAAGAAGTGCATAGGCACTGGAAGCAGGAATATGTATCCATAGGGAAGAGTACACGGATGCTGTCTGGGTGTATAGGAATGGGATCAGGAGAGCTAAGGCATAGCTGGAGCTGAATTTGGCAAGGGATGTGAAGAATAAGAAGGGCTCCCACAGGTAAGTTGGTCAGAAAAGGAGGACTTAAGAAAATGTACACACCCCCACTGCCCTGATAAATAAGATGGGAGATGTAGTGACAAACTACATGGAGAAGGCTGAGGTACTCGACAATTTTTTTTCCTCAGTTTTCACTGACAGTCACTCTTCCCACCTCTCTCAAGTCCTTGAACCGCAAGGTGGGGGAATAAAGTCTCTTCCGTCGTAGGAGACCACCAAGTTCAAGACCATATGAGGAACCTGAATATAGACAAGTCCACAGGACCTGACGAGACGCATCCCAGGATCCCGAGGGAACTGGCAGGTGCAGTTGCTAAGCCACTCTCTGTCATATTTGAAAAGTCGTGGCAGTCAGGCAAAATCCCCAGTGACTGGAGAAAAGGGAATATCACACCTATTTTAAGGGTAAAAAGGAGAACCCTGGGAACTACAGACCGGTCAGCCTCACCTCTCTGCCTGGTAAGATCATCTAACAGATCCTCCTGGAAGCTATGTTGAAGCATATGGAAGACAGGGAGGTGATTTGAGACAGCCCACGTGGTTTCACCAAGGGCAAATAATGCCTGACTAATCTAGTGGCCTTCTACAATGGAGTGACTACATCAGTGAACAAGGGAAGAGCAACCTGGACTTCTGTAAGGCCTTTCACATGGTCCCTCACAACATTCTTGCCTATAAATTGGAGAGAGATGGGTTTGATGCATGGGCTAGTAGATGGATAAGGAATTGACTGGATGGCCACATCCAAACAGTTACAGTTAATGGCTCAATGTCCAAATGGAAACTAGTAATAAGTGGTGTCCTTCAGGGGTCCATACTGGGACCAGTACTGTTTAATATCTTCATCAATGACATAGTAAGATTGAGTGTACCCTCAGCAAGTTTGCAGATGACACCAAGCTGAGTGGTGCAGTTGGTATGCTAGAGGTAAGGGATGCCATCTGGAGGGACCTTGACAGGTGTGAGAAGTGGGACCATGTGAAACTCATGAAGTTAAACAAGGCCAAGTGCAAACTCCTGTACCTGGGTTGGGGTAATCGCCAGTATCAGTACAGACTGGGTGATGAAGGGATTGAGAGCAGCCCTGCTGAGAAGGACTTGGGGATACTGGTGGATGAAAAATTGGGCGTGAGCTGGCAAGGTGCGCTCGCAGCCCAGAAGGCCAATTGTATCCTGGGCTGCATCAAAAGGAGTGTGGCCAACAGGTCAAGGGAGGCGATTCTCCCCTTTTACTCTGCTCTGGTGAGACCCCACCTGGAGTACTGCATCCAGCTCTGGAGCCCTCAGCATAAGAAAGACACGGACCTGTTGGAGCAGGTCCAGAAGAGGGTCACAAAAATGATCAGGGGGATGGAACACCTCTCCTATGAAGAAAGGCTGAGAGTTGGGGTTGTTCAGCCTAGAGAAGAGAAGGCTTTGGGGAAACCTTATTGTTGCCTTTCAATACTTAAAGGGGGGCTTATAAGAAAGATGGAGAGAAACTTTTTACCAGGACCTGTAGTGACTGCAGAAGGGGTAATGGTTTTAAACTGAAAGAGAGTAGGTTTAGATTGTATATATGGAAGAAATTTTTTATAGTGGGGATGGTGAAACATTGGAACAGGTTGCCCAGAGAAGCTGTGGATCCACTTCCATATCACTGGAAGTGTTCAAGGTCAAGTTGGATGGGGCTTTGAGCAACCTGACCTAGTGAAAGATGGCCCTGCCCATGTCGGGGGTCTTGGGTTAGTTGATCTTTAAAAGATCCCTTCCAACTAAAACCATTCTATGATTCTATTACCAGTTATCACAGATAGGGTATTTGTTTTTTAAGCCCCTGTCTGCAGGAACAGAATAGAGTAGTTTACCATTGTTGCTACACAACAGCAATCAAATAGAAATAGTTTTGCAAGTGTTTCTCTGTCCCCCTTTCCTGGGCTGACAAATAATCTTTATTTACTGCATTACTGTCTACCAGCTCAAAATAAGGAATCTTGGTTCTACACAGAAGGTGAAAGAGAGAGCCGAACCAATACCACATCTTTATCAATGCTGTATCTTGTTAAATTTGTGTATGTTCTCACTGTAATTTGTAAAACAGCATAGCAATTACTCGGATGACTTATTTTGCCCGTTATGAATAAATAACTGAATCATTTTGAAGCCAAGATATTTGTTAATACAGATGCCACAAATATGATCATAAGCATGCCTTTCCCTCTTGTCTTCCTAGTACTACAATGTCCAGTGTTAATCTCAAAAGGCCAAAAATCATGTAACAGCCATACAGGGTACTTTTCTTTTCTTCCTCTACTCTCCATCTTAATTATCCTGTTGTCTTCATGTTCAGAAGAGTTAGCCAGAATATTCTGAAGGAGAAATTATACTGTGTAATATACAGTATACATAATACACTGCTTCACATGATCCGTGTTTAGCAGAGGTATACAAATTTCAACAAGGTCTGCAAAACCAAGAACAGTCTGAGCATGTTCAAAGAGAAGAGAAAGACACACATTTTTTTTCCCCAATCCAAATGAATGCTACAAAGCAATTAAATTTAATGAAAATGTTGCAGAAGGTTTTTATTGAAATACAGAACAAAAGCTGAAACAAAAGCTTTCTGAACAACTTTACTGGCTAATCTCAAGTCATCATTCATTCTTCTTCCAGATAAAGAACAACTTACATCACTGCTCCATTTACCCACTTATTGCACACAAAAAGACAAAACCAAGCAAAAAAAAATCCAAAACAATAAAGCAAGCAGGAATCCTTCCTCTGAAGTTCCTAAATCTCTGATATATTTAGCAAAGTAGTTGAGAAGCAAGATGTGGGATGTTGAAATATGGAAGTGGGTGTTTCCAAGGTAGTACATTATTCCCTGAAGTTGTTGCTTTCTTCTTGGACTTATTGCACACAAAAAGACAAAACCAAGCAAAAAAAAATCCAAAACAATAAAGCAAGCAGGAATCCTTCCTCTGAAGTTCCTAAATCTCTGATATATTTAGCAAAGTAGTTGAGAAGCAAGATGTGGGATGTTGAAATATGGAAGTGGGTGTTTCCAAGGTAGTACATTATTCCCTGAAGTTGTTGCTTTCTTCTTGGAGCTAAACAATTTCTATTTTTTTCAATTGCTAACAACTTGAAGATAAAAAATTATCATGAATAAAAAGAATGTTGAGAATGCATGCAATCTGATAGATGACTTAGTTTGTCCAAATTATCTCTGCCTTGGAAAATTGTAACGTTTTGGATAGATTACCATTAGTAGAAAGAATTTTGGTATATCGAATATAAGCATTAACTTCTTAATAATTTTTTTAAAAAGTGAATTAGCTAATAAATCTATATATACACATATACACTGGCTTTCCCAAAAAGGAAAGAGATAGTAGACTGGGAGATGTCAGCAGATACGGAATGGGAGATTTCATTCATTCCTAGACACACGTTACAGTTGTCTAATGGATAATTTTGGGAAGCATAGTAAAAGAATTCTTCGACTCAAAACATACATGTTCTGAACATAATATATACTTAAATTTTCAGTGAGAAAAGTACCTGTGTGACCCAACAGACCAGTGTTGCACCATATTCTGCAATTAGTATGTAAATAGAATAAGGTGGTAATGGCTCAGTATAATTACCATCAAATTGCGTTTAAGTTAATCAATAATTAAGTTGATGGTTATGTTTTCAGTAGCCTCTAAACATTGTAACTGGCACAACTGTGCTGTTTCAAAGACTCAAAAATTAGGTACACCTAAATCTCAAACCACACGCACACAAAGTGCTTTGGCAGGACAAAGGAATATTTTCCTGACTATTTGGCAACAGTTAGAAAGGACCAAAACCACAGTGAATATGTATGTAATTAAAAATATTCTAGCTTTAAACCAAACAGATACTATAATCTGCTACTGTAATCTGAACAATCAGAGTTTATCGTCAATGGATTCCTATGTTTATATTTTGCTTGAATATTAACATAGACAGCAAGATTGTTCATGTTTTTTATTACTATCCTGTGAAATTCACTACCCTCTTTAATGAGATCTTCAACCTTCTTATCTGTTGACATGATTATTTTCTTTTCTCCTGTATAATCTGGATCTTCTGGATATAACTCATCTCCTGGGGGCAGAAAAAAAGTTTGTTATACATTGCCTACCTTATTTTCAGCCTTTTGATCGAGTGACACTAGCAATTTTTTAATATTTATCAAGACATGAAACTCAGTGGAATGTATTTCACAATACAAAAGTAAATTGCCTCTAAACATCTTCAGATTTAAAGATACAGCCATAAATTTCTGAAGTATTTCTCGGTGATGCTGCAGTGCACGTTCAAGGTGTTGATTTGAGTATTCCAGTATTCCTGATAATACTAATATGCTATAACCACAGCCTGGTCAGATAAGAGTTTATATAAGAGGTAGAGCACAAGACAAATACTTTCCCAAGTATATAAAGATAGGCTACAGTAGGACTAAGAATAGAAACTGTTATTTTGTTCTGTTTTGTTGAAGAAAACTGTGTTTTGCCATATAAATGCATGTTACTCTTGTGCAGGAGTGCTAATACACCACAAATACAGAAATTCTAGAGGTCAATAGTGGCAAAAGACAGGAGAAAGCATAATGAAAACCAAACTGAAGAAGCAGAAAATAATAAATAGTAGATGCAGCTTTTATTAAGGAGAAGGCAAAAGTGTACATGATTATGAAATGAGAGAGACTTAAGTAGAAGGGCAGGAGGAAAGTGAATTGGTGTGTCTTTTAAGATCACTGTCCTATCACTGCAGTTGTGAAGACTGATACCACAGCTATGCTTGATCCACTTGCCCTTACAAAGACAGATAACTGAAGTAAATGAGAATTCCCACTGAAAAGGACTAAACAGGAGTTCTAATATATCCTTCAGATTAAAAAAAAAGTTGAAATGCTAGAATTTCTTCATAAAAAAACATATTAATGGCAACCTTATGAGACAATGAGATTATGAATAAGTACAGAAATAACTGTGTTGTCTGTCTGATTCAGTAGCTTGTCTCTGAAAGTAGCTATCAACTGTATCAAAGGAGGAAGCCAAACAGTAGAAAAAGCGTGCAGTAACTTGACTTAAAAGAATATTTTCCTTACAGTTATAGACGGGTTTGTGTCATGTGGCTTGAGTATGTATTAATTCCCAAGTTTTTTAATATTTAAAAGAACTGTCATCTGTTTTCTTACCTGGCAATAGCTGAATGTAGCCATCTGAAGCAGTTAACATCACAGGCATCCAACGTTCACATCCCTCTAGAGCTCGATCAGAGCTGAACTTGTGTAACTCATGGAGTGAAGAGAAGTTGCACAGCCTACACAATTCATAGAACTGAGGTGGAGCAAACCATATTTCTTGAGATTTAAAGCGTTCTATGGCTTCTGGAGGTGATGACCACTGTAAGATGAAAACAAGCCTTGAAATAATAGTTTCATCAGCAGATAGAAAGTATCAGTAACTTTAAACGCCATTAACAAGGAAGTCTTTACAGAAAAAGAATTTGAAACAGTCCAAATCTTCTGAAAACAATAAAATCCATGTATAAACTATACCAAAATAACAACAAAAAAATTTTAAAAAATCGAAAAAACATAATAATCTATAAAAAATTACTTTTTCCTATAAAAATAAATAAGTTTTTATTTTACACGTAGGCATGCCAAGTTTGTAAACTAAACTTGAGACTTGTTTTAGGGACCTGACTAAAAGTCTACTGAAACCAACAGAAAACCTTAAACTCAATGTGAACTCTGTTAACTGAGGTTGCTACTGATGCTTCAAGAATTAAAAGTGCCTCTAAACATCTGCTTCCTATACACACAGTTTTCAGAGCACAAACACCCAGCTATTCATGCTTAACCATTGCATTGTTCTGCATGTTTAAACTATTAGTGATCTTCATTTCATCTCACATGGTGAATTTGATAATCTAAATGTGTGCGTAAGCATTTGCAGTAGATTTATGCTGTTATTAACAAAATTATAACAAACGTGACTCTTCTGAAGATAAGATCTTGGGTACTTTAAATTTCTGTAGCAAGATCTGTTCAAAAAAAACCAGAAACATCAGTAATAGCAAAATCATTAGGTATTACAGAACTGTCTGGTTTCTCATCCACTTCTAACTTGCTTTGAAACTTTTCAGAATTCTAGAAAAACTTAAGACCCTAATGTACCCGACCCTGTAGTTTCATGAAATTTTTTATTCTTTTACCCCCTCCAATTAAAAACAAGGCAAAAAAATCAATATAGCTCCAAAAATGGTTTTAATAATAGACTATTTCAACAAGTTTGTATGTTACTTAAAATATTCCAAGTAACTACAATAACCAAAAATTACTAGCAGCTCTTGCAGCCCTGGAACGCTCCATACATACTGCATGGATTTCTCCAAGCACGCTGAATGTTCAGGGTATAACGGCAGTAGTCCATTGATACTGCACGAATGAACGTATAAAAAGTGATTACTTGTCATCCACCTTTGAAAGATACAGTAATTCAAGGTGAGAATGATCTGACGTGACACACATCCCATGCCATAAAACTTCATGTAAAACGACCTTCAAGAAACACCCTCTTCTGCCAGCCGGTACGGCTGCACGTTTGATGAGAAGGGGGCAGCGGCAGTTACCGATTGGAAGGAGAGCTGTACAAGGGAGAGGATTACCGTGAAGATGAAAACTCCCCTCCCTTTCCCCACATCTTAAGGGAGCGTTTTCGGTACGGCTAGAGGGCTAGACCTTTGGACGGCTATTTGATCGCCTTTTCCCTTGGACTGTACTGGGAACAGGCCAGAGGCTCGGCGGTTTCTCCGAGGCAGGGGTGGTGAAGAGGGGGGCCGCACGGGGCAGAAGCGGGGCCCCTCGCGCTTGTTGCCATCGGAATGCTCGCACGGCCGGACCGCGCGGCGTGGCATGCGAAGGAGTGCGGTGAAGCCCAGGCACCTCCTCTTGTGCCGGCCCTGCGGCGGGGCTGGAGGCGCTCTTACCAGGAAGGCTGTCACCTCTTGGTCGTCCTGCGAGGTGTGGGGCGGCCGCTTCTCCAGGCAGCACAGGTAGAAAGCCGTGTCATAGCGCCCGCCGCCGCG